GAGCTATGAAATCTGGCATGCATTTAATTCAACTCTTCTTATTAATAACTGCATTTTGCCTTTCCAGGTAGAAGAGTGGGCTGAAAAGTTCATAGACTGACTACGAAGGAGTGATGTTAGAGCTATGTAATCTGGCATGCATTAAATTCAACTCTTCTTATTAATAACTGTATTTTGCCTTTCCAGGTAGAAGAGTGGGCTGAAAAGTTCATAGGCTGACTACGAATGAGTGATGTTAGAGCTATGAAATCTGGCATGCATTAAATTCAACTCTTCTTATTAATAACTGCATTTTGCCTTTCCAGGTAGAAGAGTGGGCTGAAAAGTTCATAGGCTGACTACGAAGGTGTAATGTTAGAGCTATGAAATCTGGCATGCATTAAATTCAACTCTTCTTATTAATAACTGTATTTTGCCTTTCCAGGTAGAAGAGTGGGCTGAAAAGTTCATAGGCTGACTACGAAGGAGTGATGTTAGAGCTATGAAATCTGGCATGCATTAAATTCAACTCTTCTTATTAATAACTGCATTTTGCCTTTCCTGGTAGAAGAGTGGGCTGAAAAGTTCATAGGCTGACTACGAATGAGTGATGTTAGAGCTATGAAATCTGGCATGCATTAAATTCAACTCTTCTTATTAATAACTGCATTTTGCCTTTCCAGGTAGAAGAGTGGGCTGAAAAAAGTTCATAGGCTGACTACGAAGGGAGTGATGTTAGAGCTATGAAATCTGGCATGCATTAAATTCAACTTTTCTTATTAATAACTGCATTTTTGCCTTTCCAGGTAGAAGAGTGGGCTGAAAAGTTCATAGGCTGACTACGAAGGAGTGATGTTAGAGCTATGAAATCTGGCATGCATTAAATTCAACTCTTCTTATTAATAACTGCATTTTGCCTTTCCAGGTAGAAGAGTGGGCTGAAAAGTTCATAGGCTGACTACGAAGGAGTGATGTTAGAGCTATGAAATCTGGCATGCATTAAATTCAACTCTTCTTATTAATAACTGCATTTTGCCTTTCCAGGTAGAAGAGTGGGCTGAAAAGTTCATAGGCTGACTACGAAGGAGTGATGTTAGAGCTATGAAATCTGGCATGCATTAAATTCAACTCTTCTTATTAATAACTGCATTTTGCCTTTCCAGGTAGAAGAGTGGGCTGAAAAGTTCATAGGCTGACTACGAAGGAGTGATGTTAGAGCTATGAAATCTGGCATGCATTAAATTCAACTTTTCTTATTAATAACTGCATTTTGCCTTTCCAGGTAGAAGAGTGGGCTGAAAAGTTCATAGGCTGACTACGAAGGAGTGATGTTAGAGCTATGAAATCTGGCATGCATTAAATTCAACTCTTCTTATTAATAACTGCATTTTTGCCTTTCCAGGTAGAAGAGTGGGCTGAAAAGTTCATAGGCTGACTACGAAGGAGTGATGTTAGAGCTATGAAATCTGGCATGCATTAAATTCAACTCTTCTTATTAATAACTGCATTTTGCCTTTCCAGGTAGAAGAGTGGGCTGAAAAGTTCATAGGCTGACTACGAAGGAGTGATGTTAGAGCTATGAAATCTGGCATGCATTAAATTCAACTCTTCTTATTAATAACTGCATTTTTGCCTTTCCAGGTAGAAGAGTGGGCTGAAAAGTTCATAGGCTGACTACGAAGGAGTGATGTTAGAGCTATGAAATCTGGCATGCATTAAATTCAACTTTTCTTATTAATAACTGCATTTTGCCTTTCCAGGTAGAAGAGTGGGCTGAAAAGTTCATAGGCTGACTACGAATGAGTGATGTTAGAGCTATGAAATCTGGCATGCATTAAATTCAACTCTTCTTATTAATAACTGCATTTTGCCTTTCCAGGTAGAAGAGTGGGCTGAAAAGTTCATAGGCTGACTACGAAGGAGTGATGTTAGAGCTATGAAATCTTGCCTCCATTAATTTCAACCCCTCTTATTAAGAACTGCTCTGTTTCTTTCCCGGACATCTGACTGTTCAAAGAATCTTCACAGTAACTAGAAGCAATTTCTTTTGAAAATCGACAAAATTTGGTTTCGTTTCGTTTGTTTAACGGCATATCAACTCCTTTTGGTTCATTTAATGCCGAAATTTCTTTTTCTTGTGAGTTCTGGTAATTTTTTTTAATATCAAAATCTATTGCTGGAAAGTGTTACTATAAAAATGTATTTTTATACTTTCATAATGTTATACTTTGACCATAGCTAGAACCCTAACAGGTGCTACCACCCGGGTCAGGGTGGACTTGGGAAAAACAACAATTAAGACGACACTCTACGTTCCTTAAAACATCCCGATTAGAGGCTTTGCCACCGGATGTAGGTTATCGTCATACCCAGGACGAAGAGAATTTGGCAACGTGGTGTTTCGAAGTATCTGCAGAAAAAGGGTTGCTACATTAAGAGATGACACTTTTACTTTATCAACAGTATAAAACTGAATTTAGGAGGGTAAGGGATAGTTTTGAAGATCACCCAAAGTCTGGTCATCCTGTATTCCCTAAGAAAACATTGTTCGTTAATGCCACAAAGTAACGGATAACAGGTGATGAACTATAAATCTAATAACCAATTCTATTAGTATATTCCGTGGGAGAGTTGATAATATTCGGCAGAATGTGCTTAGTATGTCCAAGGTTTTTTCATGGAAACATCGGATACTGATCGAGGCATATCCCTTTGGCTTGAGCATTTCCTAATCCAGGATGAGTGTTGGGTTCATCACTTTGCGTCAAAGACAAAGAGATAATCCATTCAGTGTAAAGAAAAATCCTCACTTGATCCAAAGAAAGCTAATCTACAGGGAAGGTAATGGCCTCAGTTTTTTGGAATGCAATAGGCATTGTGTTTATCGGATATCTTCAGAAGGGTCATCTGACCAATGCAGAGGTAGATAGATATGAACAGAGTGAATGATATAGATATATATATATAACAAGATAGATAGATAGATAGATAGATAGATAGGTAGGTAGGTAGGTAGATAAGATAAAAGCAGACTAAGATAGATAGATAGATAGATAGATAGATATAAGGATACTGTTAGATATGAACAGAGAAAAAGATAGATATAAACAGATAGATAGATAGATAGATAGGTAGATAGGTAGAATCAAAGGTAGATATGAACAGAGTGATAGATAGATATGAACAGTATATAGATAGGAATAGACTGAAACAGATAGATAGATAGATAGATACATAGATAGATAGAAGCAGACAGTCAGAAAGACAGACAGATAGATAGATAGATATGAACAGAGTGAAAGAAAGAGAACAGTGATAGATAGATAGACAGACAGACAGGCAGACAGACAGACAGATATATAGATAGATAGATAGATAGATAGATAGATAGATGAGGAGAGAGAGATAAGCACAGGACAATATCTCAGCACACAAGTCTTTCATTTCAAATGGCTGCTGTACATGACTGTGGCCTTGAATTAGCTGAATTACTCTCCATATTCTCCTTATTTGACTGTCCCCTGTCCCACAACATGAAAAGACACTTCGCAATGATGATGACGTCATAATTGCTGGTGATTGCATTTTTGACCAACAGGATCCAAGAACTGCGACACCGACGGAAGAAGTCTGTGGATCGTAATGGGAACTATGTTGAAAAATAAACCTCATTTGGTCACATTCCATGAGAGTACCTTGGTCAGCCTATGGACTTTTCAGTCAACTCTCATTGACAACCAAATAAAATGGTTGCTTTCAAAACTAAACAATAAAATCATAGACAAAATAGCACTAATATTAATTATTGATTAAGATAAATAGAATATTAAAACATGACATTTTATCGGTTGAGTAATGGCTAGCGGCTTCGATTGAGGAATCGGAGATCCGAGTTCGAATTCCAGTCGAATCCATTATATATATATATATATATATATATATATATATATGTGTGTGTGTGTGTGTGTGTGTAGGTTAACGCTACAGTCGTATTTGACGTGTGAGGGAACTGACAGCGAGGCACCAGCACATATGATTTGATTATAGTGATGAAGGCTTTGTGCAGAACCAACCACACTTTTTGAAGGGCCAAATGCAGAGATCTGGTGCACTACGTGCCACAAGGTCCCCAAACGACCGTCCACAGATTTTGAATTCAGAGTTGTGCTTCTCCTAGACCAGTTGCCATCCAAAGCTATATAACCCAGTCTGTCCTGCTATTTTCCCATAGCTGGAGGCATAAGAAGAAGATGAATGCCTTTCCCAATAGTATTAGCACGTAAGTGAATGTAATGGATTCGAATGGAATTCGAACTCGACTCTCCGATTCCTCAATTCAGCCGCTATCTACTACTGCACCGTGCCTCTTTTCTCTCTCTCTCTGAATATATATATATATATATATATATATATATATATATATATATATATATATATATATATATATATATGTCTGATTGAATAAGTTATAAACATTATGTCTACTCATTTTGATCATAATCCTTTCATGTTCACGAATATTTTTTTCCGTATATTACAATTCAATGAGACCAGAAATACAATGTAACAGTGCGAACTCCTTTTATTTCACAACTACTTTCCATCTTTTTCTTGGGTTAACATTGTTGATTATTACTAATGTTTACCCAATAGAAGGACCAAGAGCCATTGAAGTCGGTATTCACACCCCATATTAACCTTTGACCCTTGGATGTTAACACAGGCCTTTATGATAAAAATGGAGAATACCAATTTACGAACTTTTTGCACCTGTTAGTTTAATATAGCAACTGTTGTAGGTGAACAAACTGAACGGTTCAGGTGTGGTTACACCATGTGCCATACATGTTCAATAGGGAAACAGGTCAGGTGATATAATTAAGAAATTCCTCATTCTGTTCATGGTTATCTTAGCCATCGTTGGAAGAACCATATCTCTGTCGCTTCATGTTTCTCCATCTGTGAGGAAATTGTCCAGCATTCACTGCCATATAGTTAATTAGATATGACAGAGCAGTTAAGGCCATATCACGTTGAAACAGAGGTTCTCGTACGATCACCGAAGGTAAGCAACGTCGAGCCAGGGCGGTACCTAGATGGGTGACCGCTTGTGAATAACAGGTGCTGCAAGCTTGGATGTGCGAATGATAATGGCCCGGAATTCTTAATCGGACAGTCGAGTTAAGCGCAAATATACTTAGGAAAGTTTGAATCCACTTCTCCTCCTCCATCTATGGGTTAATTAGTAAAACTTTTATTACTAAATCATTATTATCCCAAAAGAAAACTCTTACAAGTTAAAAATATTTTCTGGCTTTAAATAATCTGCAAAAGGGTTGATAAGCCGTAGAGATCGAGCAAATCAATAAATCAAGAGCAGTTTTGTATTTTTTCTTAGTTTCTGAATGAAAACTTTCACTATACCCAATTTTCACTATTCGGTTTTCTGTGCCACTTTTTCTGTCACCTTTTACGATACTAAACTGCTGCTTGAAGGATCAGTTGAAAAACATCCCTGACACGGGCTAACATAGATCCTGAAACCTGGGAAACCATTGCTTCAAATCGGCCTTCTTGGCATAGGACCAACCGGCAGGGGACCGAGATTTTCGAGTCCCACTGTCAACATGTAAAGGATGTGCGATTTGCAGTTAGAAGGGCCCGACTCGTCCAACCGCGTCTATCACTCCTGCGCACGAATCTTCTTGTGATTTTCTAAGGCTGAAAGTGTTGGAGAACCCAATGAGGATCGAACTCACTATTCAGTCATAATTGTTCTAGCGAGACAAGCTTGCTAACCATTGCACCACGGCGCGGTTAGATAGGTTATGTGTTGTTTTCCTCTGTCCGTCTTGCCTCCAATCTGCCCTGTGAGTATAATATTTTCCAAGCTCAACGTTGTCCTTATATTTTCCGGATGTTATGCGTGAGAAACTGCCTTCGATCCTCACTGGGGTGGTTTTTATATAACCACGAGTATCACAAACATGTCTCATACCTCTAATTCGGCGGTCGGTGGCAAAACCAGGCCACTCCCACCTTTGCTTTTTTTTTTTATTAAAATAAACCCCGGTAGGTCTTTTGGTTCTCTTAGGGTCGTCTCGTTGTATAGGTTAAATCAAGCCGGGCTCTAGGTAGATGCTTGAAATTTATTTACAAAATAAATCTGGTAAGAAAACGCTTGTTTGATAGCATTTTCTCCACATTTTATTTTTGTGTATTCATTTAATTCGTTCGCAGGCTGCCTCCTTAAGGTAAGGCTTCAAGAACACCCGAAATGTGTAACACGAGGGGAAGAGGAAAAATCAGGCGTGGCTGACCACATATGGAGAGAAAAGGGAGATCACCGCCCTCTGTGGGATCAGGTTGAGATCATAGGCAAAGAACACCCTTGGAAAATTCGTAAACTTAAGGAATCAGCACATATGTTAGGCCACAAAAATCTCCTGAGCCGACCAAGCATAGAAATGAATACAATATGGGAACCAGTAATAACGAGTGCCAGAGAAAAGCGATAACAAAAATTTCAATATGAGTTTGGTAAAAACATATATGATAACAGCAAAAATTGAAATATGAGCACTGGTAAAAATTGTTTCTGAAGTCATTAGGTTTATAATACCCAGAAATCCGTACACAGATTCCTCAAGGACACATGGCACAGTGGATAAAGGCGTTGGTTAGATCCAGTGACAGGACCCAAAGAGTGTAAGTTCAATAACCGGTTAAGGCAGTGGAGAATTTGCTTGGAGAGTGGAATTAACAGGAGATAACTGACATCCATTAAACATGGCACATGGAACTAGAACAGTCTACCCCAGTGAGCGAAATAAAGAGTTCAGTTCGACATTCCAACCACCTGAAGAAGGCCGGAGCGTACAACGGCCGAAACGTTGTGATAAATCTGGCGACAAAGATGAGGACAATAGTCCGAATAATGTAAATACTGAAAATATATCAAGTTAATCGTTTTCAATGTCTGTGTAATATATGGAATATTAAAAACAATTTTATGGTAAAAATTCAGATGAAAAAGTTTTGAGTTTTCTGACCGATGCTGTTAAAACTTGTTTAAGCCTACTTCCGGTTTAGTAGTTTTATGCATCACTTCCTTTTCTCTGTCATCATTTCCGGTTCTAAACGCATGTTTTACAGTATTTGTGGAATTACGTTTTAATATTTAAAAGAAATTTATATATGTGTTGAATCGATAAACAAAGAAGAAAGTCAAGTAACTATTTACAGACTCAAATATAAACAACTAATCCTTAAGCCAAGTAAATACTTATAGATTCAATTATAAATAACCAATAAATATGTATCATCGAATCGATGAAATGCATATAGACACAAATATAAACGGCCAATATTTACCTGTCCCGAGCCGGACAGATTCAAATATACACAGCCAATATTTATCTATTCCTGAAACAAGAAAATGCTTATAGTCCCAAGTATAAACGACCTGTATTTTCTACATACTCAAATATAATCACTCAATTCCAATTCAGGAACTAAGGTGTTATATTCCGTGCTAATAGGAATATGGAATGGACAAACACGGTGGATAAATAGTAACAGGTTTATTGTAGAAACCAGTACAACAAGCCAGGAAGTAATAGTTATGCGCACGGTTGTCTCAAGTCAGTACATTTATGTGCATGATGCTATCGGAAGGCCGCTAGTTCTTGCAGATCCCAGCTCGACGTTATTTATCTGCCTCCCCACAAGGAAGGATGTGATACAAAGCCGAATTGAATGTGGGGCAATCCGAGCCCGTAGGCCAGGCCAAAAATTCCCCGTAATCCCGCATAAACGAGTTTGGGCCTCCCCGGACGAGACTCTGCCTTTCGGCAGAGGCTCGTCCGGGTTCTTCTCTGCCCGAAGGCAGAGATTTCAACGGCAGCCAAGATCTAAATAACAGATCCCAGCTCGACGCTATTTAGCAACTGCCCCACGCAGTCACATGTGGCACAAGGCCGAATTTAACGTGGGGTTCCCGAGCCCGTAGGCCCGGACAAAAAAATCCCTGTGGACCCCGCATAAACGGGATCGGGTCTGTCTACCTCCTCGGACGAAGCCCTGCCCTTCGGCATAGCCTCGTCCGGGTTCCTGTCTGCTCGAAGGCAGCGAGTTCGACTAGCACAGCTGGGAAAAATCCCAGCTCGACGCTATTTAGTAACTGCCCCACGCAGTCACATGTAGCACAAGGCCGAATTTAAAGTGGGGTTCCCGAGCCCGGAGGCTCGGCCAAAAAAATCCCCGTACACCCCGCATAAACGGGATCGGGTCTGTCTACCTCCTCGGACGAAGCCCTGCCCTTCGGCATAGCATCGTTCGGGTTCCTGTCTGCCCGAAGGCAGAGAGTTCGACTAGCACAGCTGGGGAAAATCCCAGCTCGACTCTGCTGTCTGCAGTCCCAACGGATACATATAGGTGGTTACTACTTATAGTGCCGCCACTCATGGGGGTGGCAGGCTATTCTATCACATCACAAGTAAATGCTCATACTCAAAATACACACGCATAATTGAAAAAAAGACTGAATCTGACTTTAAACTACACACAAATGTTGATATGTAATAAAATCTGCAGACCATTCAGTTATTATTATTGTGTTAAGTTATGCGACGGTTAGAAAATTCACCCTTTCACTAATTTCTAAAAGGCACAATAAGTGATTAACAATAATAACTAATAATGAAATTGAATAATTATAATACTGCACTGTAAAAAAATTCGAACAAGTTGTCGAATTGAATTATAATTGTATATGTGGCTAACTTTTAAAAAAGAACAACAAATCAAGAATTAATTAATATTAATCCGACGGATTAGCATTTTGACTAAATATTTAATTCATATTAATTAAGTCATCACCGTATTTTGCAGGAACTTGTGTATTCCATTATAAAAGAACGATTCTGATTCATTCATTGATTTTTTTTGTATAGCTTATTAACCCGTTGCAATTTATTTAAAGCAAGAAAATATTTTTCGATTGAAAGAAATTTTGTTTTTGAGATAAAGATTTTCTGACATTTAATGTAACATTTATGTAATTTCTGCAATTAAACCGTCACATATTTTTAGCCGATTCGCTGTCTTGGATATACATTAGCATATCTATGTTTTTAATTGATCGATTGATTCGTTTCTTACGACTTATCAACCCTTTTAAAGCCAGAAAATATTTTAGATTGTAAGAATCTTTATTCTTTTGGGATAATAATACAGTGTAACCCGGATATAAGACCCGGATATAAGAGAAACCCGGATATAAGAGAGATTTTCTCTGGTCCCAAATTAGAGCCTGTGTTAATGTATATAGACCAAACCCGGATATAAGAGAAACCCGGATATAAGAGACTTCTTCTCCGGTCCCGACCACTCTCTTATATCCGGGTTACACTGCATGAATATTTCTAACAACATTTTTCGAATATTTGGGCTGGTAGATGTAAATAAATAAATATACTGTTTACTAAATAAATAAAACAGAGCATCTATTCAAATATGAGTATCCATGTAAAAATAACATTTAAACAATTAAATTAAAAAATTAAATTATCGGATTTAATATATTTCCTAAAAAAATGCCTTTTGATTATGGGGTCCTACGTGGCTGAGAGGTGTAAGACACGTTTTATATATATATATATATATATATATATATATATATATATAAAGACATTTTCATGTTTATATATTCTTTTTTTTTGATAGATACAAATATTTAAGTAATTGCTCTGTTTATAATAAACATTATTAACAACATTTACCGGCCTGAATGTCTGAGAAATTGTCATAGAAAATATATGTCCTCCATATATATATATATATATATATATATATATATATATATATATATATATGGGGAGGACGCATATTTTATATATATATATATATATATATATATATATATATATATATCAAGTAGGATTAGTGTATACGGAATAAATTTCAATAACCAAAAAATACTATTCTTAAAAAGTGTGCTCAATACAGATTAGAGCAAATATAATTATTTATTCGAAAATTATAACATAAATATAAATTTATAATCACTACAAAAATAGCCAATTTGTTTCACTTGATAAGACACCACAAGTGCTGAAACAAAATGGCTAT